AAACCTTGTAAAGTTGTTTCCCAGAAACGAAACAGCAAAAATTGTCTACTTTGAAACTATTTTAATGTTTCATCATCATCACCAAACAGAATTAAGACAGTATTTGCCTATTCTTAGTTTTGTTTGTTTGAGACCTGGTCTCACTGTGTAGCTCAGGCTGGCCTTGAACTCCTTGGTGATCCTCTTGCTTCAGCCTCCTGAGTGCTGGGATTACAGTTACAGGCATGCACAACCACGGTTCTGATTTTAAAGACATTTGCTATAAATTACCCAACTGATAGTGTGATCTCATACGAGTCATTTAAGTTCCCAAGAATTGTTTTCACAACTGTAACATAAAGTGGAACCTGATTATCCAAACACTTTTCAGCCAAATACAGTGTGCTCTTTCTCCACAGGAACCCAGGCCACAGTGAATGTGCTGGGCTTTGTGAACGGAGCCTGGTGAGAGCGCCAGCTGGGTCATTCAGGAATCAGAAGACTCCAGGCCAGGGATGTAGCTCAGTGGCACCACGCTTGCCTCATAAGCACAAGGTCCTGAGTTCAATCCCCTGTACCCCCCCCCCAAAAAAAAAGAAAAGAAAAAAAAAAAAAGAAAAAGATATCAGAAGACTTCCTTGGAATGAATCAGTTTATCTAACTGAACCTCATCTAAAACAAACAGAATAAGAATATATCCCTTCCTAGGAGGCTGGTGGCAGGAGGGTCACTGTGAATTTGAGGGCAACCTGGGCCACATCGTGAGCTCAAGGCCAGCCTGAATTGCATAGGAGACCCCGTCTCAAAACACAGAAACAAACAAATCAATCTATCTACCCACCTACTTCCTACCTGTCTACCTTCTAAGGCCTGTGTAACATTAAATGAGACAATGTAGGTTTAATATACCTAATAGACCTGTCATCCCAGCACTTGAGAAGCTGAGGCAGGAGGATCGCTGTGAGTTCGAGTCCAGCCTGGGCTACATAATGAGTTCCAGGTCAGTCTCAGCTACATAGGGAGACCCTGTCTCAAAAAACCAAAAAAAAAAAAGAGCCGGGAATGGTGGCGCACGCCTGTAATCCCAGCACTTGGGAGGCTGAGGCAGGAGGATCGCTGTGAGTTCAAGACCAGCCTGTGCTACATAGTAAGTTCTAGGTCAGTCTCAACTACACAGTGAGACCCTGTCTCAAAAAGCCAAAAAAACCAAAACAAAACAAAATAAAAAACAAACAAACAAAAAACCCCAAAACAAAAACCAAACAACCTAATAGAATAGTGGATATATTTAGTAAATAAGATATATTTAGTAAATAAGTTTTATTTTGGGGCTGGAGATGTAGCTCAGTGGTGCCATACCTGCCTGGCAAGTGCAAAGTCCTGAGTTCGATTCCTAGTACTGGGGAAAAAAATAAATTTATTATCTCCCCGTGAATTCACAAATCCCTATCCATAGAGTTCTCAGGACTCCCTCCTGCTCTGTGTGCCCACAGGTGGCCCTCGTGCCTTGGAGGAACCAGGGCTTGGAGTCAGAAAGACACCTGGGCGCTCAGTGACTGAGGCGATCAGGGATTTGAACCTAGAGAGCCCAGCAGAACAGGAATCAGCCAGGCGAAGCCGACTCCAGCCTGAGGCTCCCGCCCCCTCAGATCCCCCTGGGAGAGCAGCCACAGCCTAGAAATGCTGGGAAGATGACGGCTGCTGCCCGCTCTGAGAGGAGAGAGTGTTGAGTGCACAGACCCTGTACCATCCCTGCCGGAGAAGATGCCCAACAGGGCAAGAGCCCAAGGAATTCCCCTAGCTGAAGGGCTCTGCCACGAATACTAGGAACATTTCCGAAGGCAAAATTTCCACTGTTGAAGCATCGATACTTCTCTGGAATCATAAACTTTGTCTAGAAACATGGTCTGTTGAGAAAGCAGCACAAGAATCCCACTAAAAACTGGGAAGATGGAAATTCACTTCCCATGTATTTTGTTACTTTTTTGTTGTTTTGAGACAGGATCTTGCTACGTAGCCCCAGGCTGGCCTGGAACTGGCAACAATCCTCCCGCCTCAGCCTCCCAAGTGCTGGGATGACAGGTGTGCACTGCCATACCTGGCACTTTTGTTACTTTTTTTTTTTTTTGTACCGGGGATCAAATTTAGGATCTTATGCTTGTGAGGTGGGCAGTGGTACCACTGAGCTAAATCCCTGGCCCACTTTTGTTACTTTTGAAATCAAGATCCTTCCTCCTGGCCAGGTGTGGTGGTGCACGCCTGTCGTCCCAGCACTGTGAAAGGCTGACACAGGAGGATCGCCGTGAGTTCAAGGCCAGCCTGGGCTGCACAGTGAGATCCTGCCTCAACAAATAAATTAAAATAACATATTAAAAAAAATTTCCTCCTGAACACAAGCAAGCAATATAGTCAAATGAAGAAAACTGAGAAATGACTTTTTATGTTCTTGTCCTTGATTTTAGCATAGTAAATTACAGAAATCACTGAGCTCACGATGCTAACTTTGGCACCACACTAATGTTTGAGCTCTGTGACTTTTCCAGGATTGCACACAGAAAGTGTTTTGTTTTCTTAAAACTTTAATTTGGTCTAGGCAGAGTACCTGTGAGTATGTCAGCATGACTAAGCCCATCTATAAATTTATTATGAACGAAAGAAACAATGTAGTATTTGGGGCACATGGTATTAGTTTTTATATTAGTCAATTGGCTTGAGATCCACATTTCACATTCAAAATTTCATCTTCCAGTTTGCTTTAGTTCATTCTTACACTTGATCTTAGCCAAAGGCCGAGAAGTGATTGGTAGTTCATTCTTTTTTTGTTGTTGTTATTCTTTACAACAGCTTGCTTTCTTTTGGTTTTGTTTGTTTGTTTTGTTTTGTTTTTTTGAGACAGGGTCTAAAACTATGTAGTTGAGACTGATCTGGAATTCACTATGCAGCCCAGGCTGGTCTTGAACTCACAGCGATCCTCCTGCCTCAGCCTCCCGAGTGCTAGGATTACAGGTGTGTGTGCACAACCATGCCTGGCTTACAACAGCTTTCTTGACTAAGACTGTAACATTTTCCTGTTAGCAAACAAACTGAATAGTGGGGTAAAATAACAGTATTTCCCAATACTTTGAGGCTGAATTTCTACTACTTTAAAAAATTCTTTTTGAGACACCATCTTGCTATGTGGCCCAAGCTGGCTTCAATCTCACAGCGATTCTCCTGCCTCAGCCTCCTGATGCTGAAATTACAGGCATGCACCACCACACCTGTCTGGATTTCTATTATGAAACAAATACAATGCTGCCTTAAGTCCAGATAAATACTGTGCAGATAAATACAAAGGACTAAACAGATGCAAAGTAGCTTTTGTGGTTTAGATGCTTGAGGAGAATACGTGACTTAAATTTCTACATAGTAGTTTATGACATAGCCTGAATTTTCATTTTCCAAAGTTCTAGTGGTATATGTTATTTGTCATGTCAAAAATACGTCTATTTCAAAAGGGCAGAGGAATGCTGGGAGTGCACCCATATAATCCCAGTACTCAGGAGGCTGAGGCAGGAGTATTGCTGTGAGATGGAGGCCGTCTTGGGCTACACAGTCAGCTCAAAGCCAGCCTGCACTGCATAGTAAAACCCTGTCTCAAAAAGCCAACAAAGCAAAACAAAACCAACCCCCCACAACTTTTAAGAATTGGATTCTGTCATAAATCACAGTATTACCTGGCATTGGAACTCCCGGTGGATTTTATTTTCTCCTCCTTTGCTTAAGTGATTACAAAAAGTAGTACTTGCTTGACAAGCTAAAAACAAGAACCTAAACATTAAACCTGGCCAGTCTACTGGCACCTTTCAGAGGCACCTTCTTCTACAACTCTCATAAAGAACAGGGAGTAGGTGAGGTCCTACTTCTCAGTCCTTCCACCTAAGAGTTCGGAGCAAGTTCTAACGACCAGAAGGAAAGTTTCCTCATAGAACTGGAACAAAAAACGTGCACCGAGGTGGGATGGAACGGAAACGTACGTGCCGATGCCACACACTAGTCAAGTGCCCTTGTGATTCCCAGCTCGACCTGGAAGGAATTACTTATCTCTCCGAGCCTCTGTTTGCTTACCTGTCACGGGAAGAGTGACAACATCCACTTCCTATTTATCAGACTGATTCAAGAATCACCTGGCAAAAAGAGCCCGGTGAATTGTCCCTAACGACACTACCAATAGTATCACTGCGAAGATTTCCCCTGAACTTACAGTGAGAAACACCTGAGACATCTTTCACCAAGGCAGCGCTTGGAGAAATCAGTCTCGTGGACCACCAGATACAGCGTGGCAGCCACGAAAGGGGCCCCCTCCTGCGGCCGGTCAGATCCGGTTTGGCGACCGTTGTCATGGCAACCGCCGCAGAGCGTCTCCTCGCCCCCCCCCCGAAGATGGCTTCGCTTCTTAGCCCTAAACCAGAAGTCCACGTAAGGAAGACCACGTGAGGGGCCCCGAGGCGGCCAGTCTAGTCCCGGGGTCGCATGCTCCAGCCAAACGACCAGACAGTTACCCCAAGAGCCAGCCACCACCGCCGCCGCCGCCTCCGCCGCCGCCACCCGGGACCTGCTTCTCAGCAGCCATCTTGCCCCTACGCCGCGGAGCAGGACGGGATGGAGGAGGCGAGATAGCAGGGGCTGGAGAGAGCGGGACCTAGCAGCCCAGGCTGATG